TTGCTCAATTCCGATACTTAGAGCGTCTCTTGCTCGTCCATGGCCACTGGTGTTACAGTAGAATCTCAACAATGGTGAAGAATAATTTTCTTCTCTTCAGAAAACATTCTCCAAATAAATACTACTCTATACTTCATCGCATTTTCTCTAATCAGATTTTGTTTTTGGCTCTGGCAGATATGTTACTTCTTCTACAAGAATATCACATTTGGTGTCACCGTCTTCTTATACGAAGCCTACACATCCTTCTCTGCTCAACCTGCATATAACGACTGGTTTCTATCGCTTTTTAACGTCTTCTTCTCTTCGCTTCCCGTCATCGCTCTCGGAGTTTTCGATCAAGACGTCTCTGCTCGCTTCTGTTACAAGGTACGCAAACATTATCCCCTCATAAACCCTAAAGAAAACCCTAAATTCCTCTGAATCGCCGATTAAGTTTCTTTTTTCTTGTGTTTGAAGTTCCCATTGCTATACCAAGAAGGAGTTCAAAATCTTCTCTTCAGCTGGAAGAGAATCATCGGATGGATGTTCAACGGACTCATCACGGCGCTCGCCATTTTCTTCCTCTGCAAGGAATCTCTCAAGCACCAACTCTATAACCCTAACGGCAAAACCGCTGGCCGAGAAATCCTTGGCGGGACAATGTACACTTGCGTAGTCTGGGTCGTCAATCTCCAAATGGCTTTAGCCATAAGCTACTTCACTTGGGTCCAACACATTGTAATCTGGGGCTCAGTCGCTTTCTGGTACATCTTCCTCATGATCTATGGAGCCATGGCTCCTAGCTTCTCCACAGATGCTTACAAAGTCTTCATCGAAGCCCTAGCTCCAGCTCCATCTTACTGGCTCACAACTCTCATCGTGATGATCTTCGCTTTGATCCCTTACTTCGTTTTCAAATCGGTTCAGATGAGATTCTTCCCCGGTTACCATCAAATGATTCAATGGATCCGGTATGAGGGTCATTCTAATGATCCTGAATTTGTGGAAATGGTTAGGCAAAGATCCATTCGACCTACGACTGTTGGTTTCACGGCGAGAAGAGCCGCTAGTGTAAGGCGGTCCGGTAGGTTTCATGATCAGCTCAGTAAAAACTTCATCGCTTTCTGAGGAGAAGATAAATAGAAAAGTGTCAGTACATTTGTGCATATGTACTTGTACATAAAGTATCAACTGGGAAAGATAGGGTCCTTTATATCTTGTGATTCCTTCTTTGAGAAGGCCTAAAAAGGGTTCACTTGACTTCACTTATAAGTTATAAAATATATCGATATTTTGTAACACATTTTTATGTATAGATTTTTTATATTTATATATAAATTGATATTTTGAAAGATGATATTTTTAATATTATCGTTGATTAAACACGAGCCTACTCATCTTGGTCCCTCTGTAGAGTTATAGAAATACATTGAGAGGGATACGAAAGAAACTACTATGTAAAAACTTTTTTCCTTTTTGAAAATCTGTGGCGCATTTTGTGTAAGTGTTTTTTAAACAAAGCGGAATATTTCTGACATCATGTATTGACCTTCTTTAACATTTTTACAGAATTTGTTTTATCATTTTTACCACATGGTGTTTGATTCCCATGATAATTTTTTTCTTTTTTTTTGCTAAGAGATTCCCATGATCATGTTAAAATCTTTGAACAGCATAGTTTTCATAGAGGTGGCATTTAGTTCCAGTTTCGTTAACTTTAATTTTATATAAACTACTGATTTTTGTTATATTAGTAATATAAAATTCATAATATTACAAACCACCCGAATTAAGAGGAAAATATATATTTTTCAACTAATCTATGTCGTCAGAGGTAAAATAAGTTTAATCAATTTATGACAGTTCATACTTTTTTTTGGCAAAATGCGAAAAATTTGGGATTTTTGTAGCCGAATTTTCATTGTAAATTTCATAAAAGAGAGATTATGTGGGTAAATAATGTACATGAAAAGTAGCTAGGACTATATTTACTTGACGTCGGTTAGTATTTTTGCGGCTATAAAGTTTGTAATGTAATAGCCAATGTAAAATTCAATTTATGGCATATAATTAGTAAAATTAATACTTGCGTGGCAACCCAAAAATCAATATGACATGTTGATTTTTTCTTATATTTCATAATTGGGAAGAGTTCCATCCCTAAGTAATAACTAATAAGTAATTTATGTACACATAGGAGAAAGAGAGAAAGACAGAGACAAAAAAATTATTTTATATAACATTACGATATTGTAACAATCCATGCAGATAAATAATTAATGCACATGTGGGTAAATAATGCACATGAAAACTAGCTAGGACCACATTTAAAAAAGTAAGTCGGTTAGTTTCAAAAAATTGGTAATTTAAAATTAAAGGTAAAACACTGTACATATTTTGGTAAAAAAAAAAAAGTACTATAAATATACTTAGTGAAATACATACTTGTATACTAATACATCTTCACCGTCGTATCTTACTCTGTATGTTCTATGATAAGATCTCTCTTTCCACTGTTCTTCATAATCGAATTTGTATAAAAAGAAAAGAGAAAAAAATGACAGACAACCTAGGGTGCTGAGATGATTGCTAGATATATGAGAATAACACCAAAAAGATAGCGGATATACTTGGCGTTCGAGAAGGCGAAGTGCAAAGAGAGGCGAACAAGCTTGCGAATCTCACCAAGAAGGGCAATAGGAAGAACAAGTAAGGTGGAAGAAACAATTATGATTTTAAGAAAAAAAAATTACGCTTTATGGTTTGAAATTGTGGACAAAGAAAAATTTAAGATTTTAAATAGTTTGTAAAAAGGTACATATCCCATAATATTTTATATTTGTGTGTTTGTAAATAGAATGTTTATAGATTAAAAACAAATTTTCCATGGACAAATGAATGGTTAACCAATTCTTTCAACAGAGAGAGATTTTTCAATTAGGGTTCCAATAATTCAGTGAATCCCTCTTCGGAAACCATGTTTACGCCACAGAAGAAACAGAGGATGTCTCCAGCGATGACGCCGAGAAGCTAGACGCGTAAAATCGGCGGGAACGCTGAGATAGGGTGGCGATATGAGATACGGTGGTTTTGGCTGGGGTGTGTTTATTACCAAACAAATTAAAAATCTCCTCTGTTTATTACCCTGGTGTATCTTCATGTGTCATGTGTCCGGTTTTACTTTTGCCGGGAAGGGGAACAGTTAGTTGGTTAGTTAGTTTTGTGCTAGTAGCTAAAAAAAAGTTTTAACTTTAGTCTAGAAGAATTTGATCAAGAACCCTTGACCTTCCTTGTCCACACTATTATTCTCCTTACATTTCCCTGAAAGCTAAACCCGCTTCTATGTAGTTTGTAATTACGTATACAGGCAACAATCAACTGTTTCTGAGAATCTGGAGGAGAACAACACCGTTGCTCGCAATTTGGATGCGCTTCATCTTTTATTGAACCAATCACAAGTAGGAGAATCCATCCAGAGCTGGATTTGGAACATAGTTTCTGGCAATGAGGGACTTGACAGAATTCAGCGCATTGCTAGGTTTGCTGCTGAAAGTGGTTGTGTCGAGAGGAGACAAGGGACAGGAGAATGATCAAACAGACATTCTGCGTCGTCCAAGCAGCCAAATTACAACGTGTCTCAGATTTTACTGATCTCCTTGCTGCTTCAGGCTTTGATGGAGACTCTTCTCTTCATCTTCCCAAATACAATGTTTTTAATTTGGAATTTTTCATATAATTAGATTGTTCCATTTCATATTTTAATACACACAAACTGCTTTCATTATATTAGTTGTGTACTTTGCATGTATCTTCTTTCTTCTTGCTAAAGTACGTCTAGTTATAATCCTAATCATACTCAGCAACATATCTCCACAGATTATAAACTGTGATTTCCTGTTGACAAAATAATGGTAAACCATATAAAATACAAGTATCTTTTAAGCTAGATGGATTATAAGTCCACACGATATATTCAACTATTATTTATTCTGGGCTTCTTCTGATTACAGCACACGCTTCGCTCTAAAGCCTGATCAACAATACACCTACTCGTCCGGTTTGGTAGTATGATTCCGTTTTCAAATTATCCGGTTTGGTAGTATGATTCTGTTTTCAAATTATCCGGTTTGTGGCATAACTCCATATTTCACATTTTCGCATAACTGAAACTTGATTCTCCAGAGAACCGAACAAAACCAGATCCATATATATAGATAAATCAAAGTCAAAATCCAATTCATTCACTAACCAACGTAAACTACTTAACCAATTAAATCGCTTCTCAAAACCGGACGAACTAAATAAAAACATAAAAGTTATGTTAGTAATTTGGGTACAAGGGAATCATTCATGGGAGCAATATTAGTAACGATTTCTTGCAAGTGTTTGAGTTGAGAAATAGTTTAAGGATTATAACAACAACAACAACAAAACAAACGTTTCATGATCAGCTGCTATCTCAATAATCACATTTCTCCTTGAATGATCGAGGTTGTTACTTGGAACATTTCACCAGCACCTTCGTAATGACTTGTTGAGGAGTGCGAATGTAGAGGAAACTATGTTATTGAAAGAAACTGTGGGGTGGCAAAAGCAAGCGCATTTTGGATTCTTACAAATGCTTCGAATTCGAATTTTCGATTCAAACAGCTTCATTTATTTCTGTTCGACTTTTCTATCCACCTCTACTTTAAACGTAGAATCATTTTGGGTTTATTCTATTCTTTGGTTGGTTTACTTGAGCAAAACATGTTTTATTAGTGAGGCAAAGTACACGCGTTCTTTCACTTTGGTCTTTTTGTCTATATTCGCTTTTAAGTATTTATTCCAAAAGCTGTTACAATTGAATGAAAGGGACTCATAATTATATTCAGATACATAAAGCCATCTCAAAGTTTAATAGTACTAGCTTATTTAACAAGAAAAAAAAACTTAATTAATTTTGCTTAACAAGAAACGAATTATTCTTCAACATGATTATTATTTAAATAAAGCAGCTAACCGTGAACAAAAGAATCAAAAAGGCAAAAGAAAGAAAAAGAAAAAGCAGAGAGAGAGAGCAAGAAGAAGTGAGACTTGTGTTCTTCCGGTGTTTAGCTTCTTTCTTTGGCTTTTTGTCTTTTAGGTTCTTGCCTTTTTCCGATCAATCAGACCAATCCCTCACTTTTGGCATCTTCGTCTTTCATCTTATTCTCTTTCGTTGTCCTCGGATTTTTTCTTTCTTATATTTCTGGGTAATTCTTCAATTAATTCCTTGTTGCAATCAGACAGAGAGAGAAAGAGATGTATAATCAGTTGGCAATATCTTCTTCTTCATCATCTTCTTCTTCTTCGTACTATGAATCCTTGAAGATTTTGGAAGCTGATGTTCAACACGCAAATACCTTGTAAGTCCTTTTCTGGGTTTCGTCTCTATTCTCCAAAAGTTTAAGACTTTAGTCGTTATAGTTCTGATTAGTTGAGCTAAAAAGTAGGTGAATATTAACAACCCAGTTGAGAATTTTGGAATTTTGGGGTCATTTTCTGGGAGTTGTGTAATCTCTTCTCATCAAATTTCGGTTATTTTAGGAAACAATGATAAATTTATGTCTAATTTTGTAATAGCTATTGAAGATTGTAGCATTCGCAAATGGAATTTCTTGAAAGTTGTTGTCGGCTTGATATTCTTATTTCAGCAAATTTACAAGCTTTTTTTTTGGCTCAGGGTTCTTTGTTTACTTTTTGTCTTTGTTTTCGCTGAATTGTCTATGAAAACTTGAGCTTATCTTTTCAGGGCAGAAGCAATTCCAATGGGGAAGAACAATGTGCGGCTTCAGATGAAACTGGTTCATAGTAACTTTGCTTCATTATTACTGATCTTGCTCCGGTGGATTGATCTTTCTTGCTCATGTCTGGTTCCTCGCTACTTCAACCTCTTTCATGTTCTTGTCTACAAGGTTAGTCCTGTGATCTCAAAGTTTCTTCCTTTTTTAGGGCTTTCAATGTTCTGACTATGATGAGCTTTTAGTTTTCTGAAATTTCTCATTTTTTTGTCATCTTTGCTTATAAAGGTTCATTCTGATGGACAACCAAAGCTCACCACGCACGGAAGGAAAGCAACTATCAGTGAGTTCTATGGTAAGCAAATCTGTAACCGTGGCTGGAAAATGTTACAATGTTTTGTTGTTTTTAGCTTAAGCTTGTTGTGGAAGTAGCCATTCTCTTCAAAAGGTTTCTCAATTTCAGCCACTTAATAGATCGGTTGACAAATCGTGGGTGTGATAGGAATGCAATTGAATGTTTGATATGAGTCTATTTGCGGGTTTTTGTGTATGCAACTTTGGTCCTAACGTTTTGTGTTTTGAAGGTGTGATACTACCATCACTTCAGCTATTACACAGCAACTTAGACGAGTTGGAAAATGCAGACATTGGGTTTGACCTTAAAAGACTCAGCAAGAAGATAACAAAAGAGGCTCGCAGTAATAGATTCAGCAATGCCGGGTTAGAGCGTGAGGAAGAATGCGGAATCTGTTTAGAAACTTGCACAAAGATGGTGTTGCCCAATTGCTGCCACTCAATGTGCATCAAATGCTACCGCAATTGGTACACACACTGCAGTTTTGATACAGTTTTTGTGACCTGATCAAGGAACTTTAACTTACCAAATCTCCATTGATTCACATATGCAGGAACTTGAAGTCTCAGTCATGCCCTTTTTGTCGGGGAAGCATGAAGAGAGTGAACTCAGAGGATTTGTGGGTACTTGCTGGTGATAATGACGTGGTGGATACAAGGACGGCTTCAAAGGAAGATTTGTTCAGATTCTACCTCTACATTAATAGCCTTCCCAAGGATTACCCAGAGGCTCTCTTCTTGGTTTACTACGAGTACTCAAATCTGATTTAGAGGAATCTGGACAAGCAAAAAACTTTGTACAGATTTTTAGAATGGTAAATGTTATGTATAGAATGTAAAACTGTGTTTATGCTTTGGGATGATTTGATGCAAAATGCCAAAGCTCTCAGCTTTTACATGCCTTATAAATGTGAAATGCGACCAATAAAAAAAAAATATTGTAGAAAGGCTTGAAGACAGCACAGAATAAAGATCTCTCTTTTCATCTTCTTCCTCGCAACCAAAATTACAATCTTGAAGCGTATAGGCTATAAATTATAATAAACAAAAATACTCTCTAATGCGGGTGTTTTGAATAACAAATGAAGAACCTTTAACAAAAGCAAAAACGCAAACATAGTTTACAAATATATATGCTCATCTCCAAAGACAGTTTACCAGTAAACAAGGTATAGAGAAACATTGTATCAAACATTTTAATGATAAGTAGATTAAGGTAGTAGGCAGAGTAACTTAAACCGGTATCGTTTGCGATGCAGAAAGAGAGACACGACGAGCATGAGAGTTTCCTTTTTTCAGTCTCCTCGTCTTCTCTTTCCATAGTCTGCATCTCTTGACCTGGACCTATGATCATCTTCTGCCATTCTTGATCTGCTTCGAGATTTCATAGAAGATTGTCCTCTATCGTACTCATCAGAATCACGGTCTCTCTGCTGCTTATACTCGCGGTGACTATCTTTCTCTTCACGGTGACTCTTGTGTCTTCTATCACCACTACTCTCAGACCACTCACGTTCCGTGGTAGCCCGTTCTTTATCTCGCGATGGCTTATCTTCTTTCTCCTGGTTTTCATCTTCATAGCCACCATATTCAGAGCCACCCTCTTCACCACCTCCTCCTCCATTAGCCTCGTTCCACATCGCTGCTGCATGAGCTCCATTCATCCCCGAGCTTCCCATCGTTCCCATTCCCGTGCCAAAAAAAGCGGGATTAACATGAGGAGCAATCCCAACCATTCCCATTGCATTGACACCAGGATAAGAATGAGGCATCCCGGGGTAAGCAAGACCTGAGAACCCTCCATAACCACCACCACGACCCATGAATGTAGGATCAAACCCACCAGCTCCCATCATACCCTGTGGATGCATCATACCCCCAAATGATGGACCAGCAAGTCCAGGCCCATACGGTCCAGCACCAGAACCGTTAGCCATGTTGTTTATCCCTCTACCTCTCATTGCACCACCCCAAGGACCTCCACGGTTTCCCATTCCTTGGCCACCACGCGCAAATCCACCTCTCCCGTAATTTCTTCCACCGTCTCCATTTTGCGTATTCATGTTGTTGTTGTTGTTGTTACCTCTTCCCATTCCTTCATTCAGAGGCCTTCTGTTTTGAATTTGGTTTTGTCCTTGGTTTCTCCCTGTGAAATTAGCTCCCATCTGCTTCAGTGTTTCAGGAGAAGCAAAGGCTACAACACATGCTTTACCATTGAAAACAAAACCATTCATTCCTTCTTTGCAAGCGGCTGCAGCAGCTGAATCATAAAATTCCACTTGACAATAACCTTTAGATTTGCCACTAACTCTCTCGTCGAAAAACTTGATCTCTTTGACTCTTCCATACTGAGAAAGAACACTCTCAATCTCTGCATCAGTCGTCCACCAATGTAACTCTCCCACGAAAAGCATGGTGTTCCCATTGTCCACAACAAACGGCTGCGTCGGGCTTCTGTTCACCATTGCATTTGGATTCGCATTCATCTGGCTAACAGGTATCTGCTGAGCACCTTGAGGAACAGCACCGTAGGGGTTATGCACAGGCGGCTCAGGCACATTTACTGCATTCCCTGAAAAACCATGGGTGTTTAGCACAATAGATGTCGATCCTTGTGGAATGACTTTGTTGGATTGGACATCAATATTCGACCCTTTTGCTCCGAAAGGAGATGCTTGTGGATAAACATCTGATCTTGTCTCTGGTCCACTGATTCCATTATGACCCCCATCATTACGGTACTTCCCTTCAACAGTAACTCCAGATACATTTGCCATTCTCGGTTCAGCAACATTACTATTCTGAGCTTGAATATTTCCACTACCTGTACCACCGACTTGAGCTGGTGTTTGAGGCTGATGATGAGCTTGGAAGAAGCTCTCGCCCACATTAACATCGCTATAGAGATCATCATAGTCATCATCTTCACCCATCAGTTCTTCATCCGCTAGAGCGGGAATAGTTCCGCTTCCTTGATGTAGTAGCTTCTGATTACCTCCATAACTGACGTTTTCTTCACTCATTGGATTCATATAAACTGGCCAGAAAATACAAGAAGAATTAAGAAGCGTAAATTACATAAACAATCCTCTACTATATAACCTCTCTTGCATGTTTGTTTTAACTTAAACAACAGAGCCTTTCATAGAAATTACAAATCTGCCTATTCAATTAGGCTGAGACTTTTTACAAGCAGTTGATGAGCATCAAAGTAGATATGTGTCTGTGCAATAGTTTAGATCTAAAAAACAAAAACAGGACTTTTAGATTTGAGATCTGTAATTTGGGATCTAGCTCGACAAATCCTCTCTCCATTGATGGATTTAAACAAGGATGTTACAAGATTCGTATACAAAGAGATCAAATTACATACAAAGTATGATTTACAATGAAGGGGGCTACACATATTTAACCCATTTCGGAAAGGAAAAAAAAAAAAAGAACAACAAATAGAGAATTCTCTAACATTAGGGTTCTTACAAAATCGAAAAGAGATAAACAGATCTAGGAGGAAAGTTACAATTCAACGAGATACTGAGAACATCGATTAAACCCTATAAAGCTTCGAAATCGATTTGCATCTCGAAATCGAGGATCGAAAGGAAAAGAAAAACCAACGCTTGCTTACTTTTACTCTTGCTGCTGGGCCTCTTCCGTCTATGGGATTTGAGATTCCGACAAGCTCCGGGATTTGTTCTCCGCGAGAATTACAGCTTCCCCGACGAAAATTAGGTTGAGATCGGAGGGAGAGTCGTCTTCGTCGAGACTCGAGATGTTCTTTCTTATCCGATACGAACAAATGAAACTATGGCTTCGCCGTGATGCCTTTTTGTTTTGGTCTTAATTTTTTTTTGTCAACAGTCATAACAAACTATTATTTACATTTTTTAAAAGATTTAACTTTCAACGGATCACGAATTAAAAAAAAAACTAGAAAATATTTATTTGACTTTTGAGAATGACTACTTTACGTGTTTAAAAAAAAATATTTTCTTGACGACAAAAAAAAATAAAAATAAAATATTTTCTCACGTCTAATTTACTCATAAAGATTTGAACAATTCAATGATTTATGCAAAAACTATTTAAAGTTTATTAATAAGATAAATGATTATCTATGTAATATTTTGTAATAGGAGAGCAAACTTAATTGTGTTCAATGATGGATCTATGCATAAGAAACAAAAGTTGGAGATCTTGATTTGCTTGGGTTTGCTAATCACGTTTAATAATCATGAAGTTTTCTATGGAATTTGATGCGTGTGTAAGTTCATATAGTAAATAAAAAAACTTGACCTCTACATACCTTTTTTCTTTTGTTCATATAAGTACTTATTAAATTAGTTCTGCATGGCAAAATTTAAGGTAACAGTCTCAGTTAATATTAAATTAGGAAAAACAGTTGCACTACAACACCAACGATCTACAGTTAAACTTCTATAAATTAATATTGTGTCAAGACTGCAATATTCTATTAATTTATTGAATTATTAATTTATCGATATAAAAATTAACTTGAAAAACTAATTTGAGACTAAAGAAATATATTAATTTATCAAATATTAATTTATAGAGTTTATATTGTAGTTATAAACTTGGGATTAATCTTATAACCCAAATAACCAAAAAAAATAATAATAACAAACCAGATATTGAGTTTCCAGGAGCTTAATAAGAAACATACTTTTCATTAAAAACATTAACATACAAAGAAAGTTTTTTGATACTATAGTATTACCAATACTCATCTTATTTTGGAACCATATTCATTTTTAATTATTATAAACTGATTTGTAGTATTACATGCAGTTTCAATTATTTTTTTTTCTTTTATATATTTGACATGTGTAAAGTATATAAAGAGATTTAAAAGTATTAGCAATAAAAAAAATAACTAAAGCTGATGAAATGCCTCAAAAAAGGGCAACTCTGTGCAGTTACTCTATGAGTATGCCAAGAATCTCGATGTCAGCTGCACTCACTTCACAAAGTGTGATCTTCAACTCCTATCATTGCCTCCTCATCAAACTGAGCACAATTCTACAAAAACAATAACATAGATCAAAGATGTTTTATAATAGAATGAATGTTTTTCCCATTGTTTCCATTCTCGTGCCGAAATATTTACTTTTTAATGATAAAAATTTGTTGGATTGTACAAATTTTGTATTATATTAGAAAACACATCAATAAAAATAAAATGTTTGAATTCATTTTATGTGTAAGTGTCTACAAAGATGAACATTAAAAAACAAAATGTATCTATAAAAGTTAATATTATTATTTAACAAAACCATCAAAGAAATACATACAAAAACTTATCTCTAAAATCTAATATTTTCTAGTTTCTTGTATTGTTCGATGACATAGTTTACAATATTTGCGATTGTGATTTAAGTCTAATTTTGCATAGTCAACTTAGTATTTCAAGATTTAATTTGCTTACACTATACCTGAGGAATAAATCAGTCAATTTCATATAGTAGAGGAATTATATGAGCATTTTTCCGGCTCTAGGCCCATGTTTATTACATTATAATGTTTATTATAGTATAACGTGAGCACGGTTCTGGCTGGAGGATTATTTATGAAACCGCTTCAGTTTAGCTTCAATACATTCCCTTGAAGACTGGATTTGTACGGCATATGCTTGCTCCACATTCCTCATACTCCTCTTTCGTTCTGCAACTCTGTCAAACAAAAGAAACACATCCATTTTTCTTTTCAAACCGATGAAGCCGGTGTTGAATCTAGCGTGTCTCTAAACTGGTTTCTAGTCATTTTATAACCGATTTCAACTCAACAAGAACAGCACAAACAGCTAGTTTCTGTAATTTAAACAGGAAAAAACAAATTTTACATACCGCGAAAAACTCAGGAGTTGATGAAAGCACAGAGCCTCCAAACCAAACTGCAAACCTCTGGACAGGGTGGCTCACGACATTAACCTCCACCGGTTGAGACTGTTTATATATTATTATAACACAGAGGAAATGGAAAACGTTAGATATAAATTACAAATATATCTGTTTACTTTTATTTGCGATCCAGCGTACACGTTATTTACCGTGATCTCACCACCCGTACGAGCGTTATTAGCAAGAACACGAGCATCAACTATCTTCTTGAGATCTCTTTGTAACCTTCTTCCGAAATCTTTGAACATAGTCGAACCTCCGGACAACACTATATTCTGATATATTATCACAAATTCATCAGTACCGAGAAAAAAAAATCCCCAGGTCGGAAATTATCTTACAACTCTGACCAGTCTGTATTTCAGACCTTATATAAAGCTCTTCGTGTATCAATTGGTGCAGACTGGATACATTTGTCTATTACAGCTGGTAAAGCGGTTGTGAAGTCATTGCTGTATATCTCTGGATTAAAAAAGACCTGTAGCAGCAAATCCCAACATTAGAATCGATAATAGCAGAACACATGCGCAAGAACATTTATAAGGGATATTCTGTTCTGCTAGTTCTAGTTACTCTCTCGATTCTCATACAAAGGATTCAAAAGTTTGATCCAGAAACAAGATTAGTGGTTCCAGTAGAGACAGCTGAACACTAACTAGATAAGAATCAGTCCCAGCTAGTATTCTTTTTAGCATATTGGACTGAGTAACTGACCTACTTTTAGTTTTTAATAGAGCATCATTTATGCCAGCACCGTTTAGTAATCAGAACAGAGTAATAACTAATAACAAATCATGAACAACAAACAGACATATCACGAACCCATCTTACTGGAATTGCCTTAATTATAATGAAACTAGTAAAGAAACCCATGGCCAGCCTATCAACTTAGGATTTTTTTATTAACAGAGAATGGTAACAAACCTCAGGTCCAAGGAATCGTTCATATCCCACGTCACAAGTGTATGGTGCACCAGTCTTTGGCTTAACACCTTTCCATTGTTTAATAAACTTTCCTGGTTCTTTGTCGTGCTTATTAAACTCCTGCAACCAAATGAATGTTCAGTTATCTGTATCAATCTTCCTGTGTTCAATGTCAAGCGTTTCAGCATATAGGCCAGTAATCAATTATTTGACTAAACATTAAACACTAAACATTACCTTTACGATGTCTGAGCAAGTGTAGCAGTACATTTCCTTCACTTTACGGGCTACATCAAATGAATCTTCTGGTGGTATATTCTCACCTCTTTCCTACATTAAATATCGAACTGAGAAAGTTCTATGAACGTAATACATTAACTTGAACCTATAAACACCCTCTTGAAGTATCTAACAAAAAATAACAGGACAACGAGCTACCATCCAGCGCGAAATTGGATTTTACTCATGTAACCGAGTAAGTACTTAACATGTCACAGAGAAAGATTTAAAACCAACTACAGAAGAAGAAACAAAGATAAATTAGTACATACCCGCATGAGTTGCTGGATAAAGAGGGTGACATCTTTGCCAGCAATCGGAATCGACTTGATACAGCTCCCAATAACATAACCTTCTGCAACGGGTACCACATGAGTTGCCCCATCTCCAACATCTACTACAACCCCTGTCATCTCACACTAAGAAGAACCGTAAGTCAAATTAAGAAGCGAGCGTAACAAGACAGAACAAAAGATAAGAGAACATGTCCAACATTTGCCAAAATCCCATAAAACTAAGAAAACGTCAAGTACTGGAGGAGTTACACTATTAGATTTTTTATAAACTCATCCACCCTAAAACAAAACTGAAATGAGTATAACAGAGTATTAACTATCCATGACCTCGAATTTTTTGAAGATTGAGACAGTCCACAAGCAAACATAACAGAAGTAAATATCCCAGCAAACAACATAAACACATGGAGAAAAGAAATGTCCGACCTACCTTTGATGTTGTGTACCCAGCTGCAAGTGCAAGCACAGAATTAACAGCAATGTAAAGCCCAGGAACATTGAAAGTCTCGAACAAAATCTCCCCTGTGTATTCTCGACTCTCAGGAGGAGTAAGAGGGCTTTCGGTGAGAAGAAAGTAATGATCCTCAGGATCACATCTCAAATAGTTGAAGATACACTGCTGCCAATATCTTTCCATAGCATCCCAATCCTCAACTTGACCATGCTCGATTGGATAATGAAGATTATAGGTACTACTAGACCGTGATTTCGTAAGAGCTTCGTCTCCGATAAAGAAATCCAGATCCGCCGCAACTCCGGCATTGTGCTGGACTGTCCAGTTTCCTTTTAAAGAGCTCTTGGATTGATTCAAAAACGACTCGTTAACCGCAACTACTGTTGGAAGGATAAAACATGGCTCTACATTACCCGCAAATCCCATTTTTGTATACCTGCAATACACACACACACACACATGAATCTAAATCAGTCACATAAACAAATCACAAAAAAGGAAGAAGATCTGGTTGCAGCATTTCCTCGAGCACGTTAAGCGCATCAACTCAATCACTGACTTACCCAGTTCCATTGTCGATTACAACAGCGGGTCGAGAAGTCGGATCCATAGCAGAAACTACGCCGGCGATATCTGAATCAAAGACGCCTCGCCAGACGGTGAAGGTGAAGCGTCTGCTATTGATGAGATCCAAAACAGTGTTTAACGAAAGAAGGCTTCTGATAAACAATGAGAGATTCTGTGAAATTCAGCGAACCCTTCGTTCAGAACTTCAGATCATACGGAAAGTCGCCGGCGTCGGTCGAATCGTGCGGAGACTTTTTCAGATAGAAAACAAATGCACTTGATAAAATTACTTCGGTTTATCTGAACCAAACCGAATCGATAACCAATATTAGTTTTTTAAACAAATCAAATTTCACTAAAACTGAAACGGAAAAGATTATAAAAATCGTTTATTGTTACTGTTATGACAATCTTAATTCTCAAGTGATAACGACGTTTCAACTTCGGGTTTTGATCCAGCAAAGTGTTAGCGAAACATTTACTTTTTTGATAATAAGTAGTTTGGTTTTTCCTTATGGATTAGTATTAGCTTTTAAAGAAAAGGAAATATGTTTTAACAAAAAAAGGAAATATGTTCGAAAAATTAAATCTATAAATAACGTAGTAGCCCATTCATACGTTTAGTAAACAATTTTTTATAATACGAGTACAAACTCTCTCATTCTCTCAAGTCTTAACCACATCTTCTTCTGACCTAATTCTTCTCACGATACGATGAACATTCCGAGGGATGTCGAGCGGGTTCCAAGGCCAGCAGGATATGGAATGAAACAGTAATGGCCATTCACAAGGTATTGGTGTTGACAAGTGTTTTCGTGGGAGTCTTCTATAGGCTTAAGCAACATCGTAGGAGCAGTGATGATACTTATGACACACTTTTGTTGTCATTGTTGTAAGGATTTTTAACTTCTCCTGATTGCTTAGATCTTAGGATCTATTAGATGAATTAGAAACTTAAAGAACACAAAAGTTTGATCACCCAGTTCACGGTCTCGAACCGCTACGTCTGGGATGGGAACCGTCTCCCACAACCTCCACTATCAATCAAAGAATACACAAACGCACTAGCCGGTGCTCTCTTTGTGTTTCAGATACAAGTAATAGATTAGAACAATAGAAGAAGAAGACTTGAATCACAACACAAAGAAGACACGAACTTCCTTTGGTGCTCTCTTGGATTCCCTTTTCTCTCTTCTCTAAATTGCTCTCTCTCTCTATCTCCAACTTGTACTCACGGCTTGTGTTTTCTTTTTTTCTGTGTTAGGGTTTCTTCAAGGTCTCGGCTTCCTTAAGTAACGCCACTGTTACCGACTTGCTTGTTCACGTACATACTTACATTGTTAATGGGCTTTGCAGATATCTGGCCCAACTTCTATTAATGTCTTAATTTCAGATTTGGACCCAAGAGATAAATGACTGAGGCCCATAAACTTACAATCTCCACCTTGGGCCCAGTCAATTTTCCTTTCTCCTTTTTCTATTCACGACAATTCCTTTGTCGCTGCCCATCAATGCAAAAAATCATCTCCTCCCTTATTCGATTGTGAACAACCCAGAAAATGAAGCTTTCCGATCAGATTCCCATAAAGTTTTCTGTCACCAACACCTTGCAATCCTCAGGAGCTCGCGATTGATTATTCCTTCATGACTCCATCTTCAATTTTGCTATCTCGGTTGAATCATTGTCACCTCGCCGAAGTCTCTGCAATTTCAGGTGAGAACTTTATCTCTTTACTTTCCAGGTGCTTTCCCTTTCGCCGTTGAAGCCTATAACCCTAATTCCTGGTTTAATTCTTCTCTGATAGTGAAACTAGATAAAAAATTTCCTCCGACCAGAAAATTTTCATCTCCTGCGATTCCTCTGTCGCAATTATCCTCTGTAATCTCAGGTATCCTCAATTTCCTCTTCATCTCCTTGCTGTGATGATTTGAAATTGACCCTTTCTGAGATTCCCAATTCTGAAATTTCAGTCCTTTATTACGCAGTAGCGGAAAAACACAACTTCTCCGATGAACTCAGGTAACCCTCTGACCTGAATCATCACCTTTTCTTCTCTGTATCTTAAAATACTTCCAAGACACCATGAAATCTTAATTATTGATTTCATACTTCGTAGCTTCTCCAGAAAACTTGATTCATCTTTGTCGACCTGTTGATTCATCTCATGTGCACTGAGCTTTGAATCAACCTCTTCATGAATCACTACCAGCTACTCCACCTGAAACTAATCAGTTTCAATTTCATCTTCTTTGCAGCTCCTTCCGATGAACACCCCATGTTCTTCAGCTACTTAGATGACCTCAGGTAAGTCCCTTAACCTGAACCTTGTACTCTCGACTTGCTTCCCAGATTCATGAAAACACAGCTCACTTGTCTTCCCTTGAATCTCCCAACAGCTCCACCTGGAATCAAAGTCTCCTCACCATGATTTCAGATGCCTACAGGTAACTCCTCTAATCCATTAATTATCGACATAAGAACATTTCCGAAACCGACCGTTTCTGTGTTCTCCTGCGAGAGTACCATGCCAATAATATGGAGTTACCTGGAGCTGTACCAACTTTCAGACTGTGTTGAGAAGATCGCAGCAAACCTGAAACTTCTGTTCAGGTACTGCTTTAGTTACAAAATCTGTTGAACTTTTGCTCCTGTGAACCGTAGATAAAACTATATTTTCTTTAGCTCTATCTCCAAAGAAACCTGTTCCCAATATCTTAGAAACTTTTCCCAAATCTTTCACCTCAAGTTCTTTGTTCAAACCCTCTTCTTCTCCAACAATTTTCTGATCCATCCGCTTCTCACTTTCCAAGTTATCATCCATTGAAGATTCTGCCTCAGATTCTTCTTTGCTCTCCTTAGACTCACTTTCTTCCGTACTCTCCGTTTTTTCTGACGAAGAAGAGTCTCCACCTTGAGCTGATAAACTTTCCTTTTTAAAACCATAAGGAGTTGGTCCTTGAATCAGATTCTTGTTAAATGTCACCTTCTTTGACTTGTCCTTTTTCTCTTCTACCTCAGCTCTTTGCACGTTCACGTCAACCTTAGAAACTGTGCCTAGAAGATAATACAAACCACCTTGGTATTTTCCAGATATTACCTTTTTCTTGCCTTTGTAGAACTGAACTTTGAAGTCACCTCCTTCATATCTGCAACCTGATTTCTCTAACATCCCATAAGAAATAAGATTTCTACTCACTTCTGGTATGTATTTCACATCTTTGAGTATCACTACAGAACCATCTGGATTCTGAATCTGAATCTTTCCCATTCCTTTGATGTCGCAATGAGTGTTATTAGCCATCAGAACTTTACCACCATCAAACTCCTTGAAATCAAACAAGACTTCTTTGTCTGGTGTACTATGGTATGAACAGCCTGAATCCATAATCCATTCTTTCTTTGTATCTTGAGTGCTGACACTTAACACCATTGGTTCCTTTGAATCTGTTGCAACATTTGCAGAATCTGCAGGTTTCTTTCTATGAGGACATTCCCGCTTCCAATATCCTTCATCTCCACAGATAAAACAACCTTTGTTGTTTTTCTTTCCTCTACTCTTAGACCTTCCTCTTCTATTCTCTGACCTCTTTTCTGATCTGCCTCTAGCCTCAACATATAACCCTTCTCCATCTGATCTTGAAAGCTTTTCATTTTCAGCCAGCTCTCTCTCCTTAGATTTTGCAGCACTAGCTACTTCCTCCAACTCAATAGCTTCCCTACTATACTTAAGAGTATCTTTTAAAGAATCATACCTAGGGGGAAGAGAGTTGAGTAGCAGTATTGCTTGAACTTCTTCCGGTATCTCAATGTTGAGGATGCTCAATTCTGAAATCAGCTTCAAGAAGTCATCTACATTCTGATCAATTGATCTTGAATCCTGCATTCTAAAAGAATACACTTTAAGCTGAGAATGGACCCGATTAGGCAAAGTCTTTGCCATGTAAAGCCTCTCAAGAGTAGCCCATGCTTGAGCTGCGGTTACGCACTTGTCTAGTTTCCTTAAGACATGATCTCCAACGCACATGAAGATAAGATTCAACGCCTTCTCATCTCGCTCCAGCCTTGAAGCTTCATCTTTGCTCTTTTTCTTTATTGCCTCTGGATCTTTTTCATCCACGTCTTTGGATGTCGGTTCCGTAAGAACATCTTTCAAACCTTGAACGGTTAAGTACGCGAGCATCCTTTTCTTCCAGATCACGAAATCACCTGATCCGTCGAACATGCTCACCTCCATCTTTTGTGTCGTCATCATTGAGTTTCTAATCTAATCCTTAAGCACTCACAACCAAACCTGGATGCTCTGATACCACTTGTAAGGATTTTTAACTTCTCCTGATTGCTTAGATCTTAGGATCTATTAGATGAATTAGAAACTTAAAGAACACAAAAGTTTGATCACCCAGTTCACGGTCTCGAACCGCTACGTCTGGGATGGGAACCGTCTCCCACAACCTCCACTATCAATCAAAGAATACACAAACGCACTAGCCGGTGCTCTCTTTGTGTTTCAGATACAAGTAATAGATTAGAACAATAGAAGAAGAAGACTTGAATCACAACACAAAGAAGACACGAACTGT